ATGAAAATATTAAGTGTTGCAATTGTGGGTAATTTTTCCTCTTGCCTGTTTCCCTAATTTTCATAATGGCAAAATATTATCTTAATAAAAGTTCCTTCCATAATAAAAGTTTTTTGAGACAGGATCTCTCTATGTTGCACCCCTCCCTCCTGCTCAAATTCACTATGTAGCCCAGGCTGGCCTTGAACTTGCAATCCTCCCGATCACAATCCTGAGTGCTGGAGTTACAAATCTGTACCACCATGCCTGGCTAGGAATTTTTAAAAGTACATGACTCTTTTAATTATTTTCAAATCACTTTCACATCTATATCTCATCTGATTCTTGTAGCAACGCATTAGGGGGAGGTAATGTTAAGTAATTCCACTTTGTAGCCTGGAAAAAATTGAGACAGTATGTTTATGACTTCCTCTAAGTCACTCAGTTGTTTGGAGGTCAACCTTGGGTGGGTCTCAGGTCTCTGAGTTCAGCTGACACCCTGTTTTTCAAGACTTCATCACAGATTCCTTGGTCTTCAGGGTCTGCTCTCTTTTTTGGGGGGTGGGGAGGGGAAGGAGCTCTGTGAAGTGGGAGCTGTCACTACCTACATTTGGCTCTGCAGTCCAAGGTGGGTATCTACATCCTTGATGACACACTACATACAAGATGTCTCCAAAGATGCAATTCCTGCCCTGGACACCCTGCCACTCTCTCCTCTGGCAAGGTACCAGGTCCATGTGGGTGAAAATTCTTGGAAATGTTGAGAAGGAAGGAGAGAGAGGACAGGCACTGTCTGGGAATCAAGTGTGACATTTCTCAGCTCTAGTTTTTGGAGGAGAATGGGTCTGTCCTTTTACCATTCAACACCTTGTCTTCTGACACTTCTCCCCCTGGCTCTTTTAGAAGTAGCCAGGGGCTCACAGGGTGACTTTGGCAGAGGGTCTCCATTCTGGACCCCCACCCCCAGAGGTCAGCCCAGGGTCCTTCACTTCAGAAAAGGTGAGAGCCTTATAAACGGGACATGCCTTGCTCAAGAATACCAAAGGCAGAACCACACCAGAACTCAAATTCAGTTCCCAGACCAGGATGCTTTGCTGGTCACCAACCCAGTGCTGACAGCAGCTTTGTGGTAGGGCTGCTGTGGGTGGAGGTCCTTGGTATTGTTTGGCTTCATCCACAGTTTGACATGGAGGACAGAGTAAACTCTGGGGGAAATCCAGGGGTACCCCCAGAAAGCCCTCCCCAGTTCATAATTAATGATACCATCACTGAGGGCTGACTGTGTGCCCCCTCCTCACTGAATCTTAGGCACTAATATTAGTGCTATTTTTCAGTCGAGGACACTCACACCTGGGGGGTAAAATGACTTATCTAAGGGGACAAAGTTACTAAGTGCTGAATCCAGAATCAAAGCACCTTCCACACTTCCCACTGGGTGGTGCTGCCTTATTTCCAGAGAATATTCATTTTGGAAACTCTTAAATTAGCAACCCCCACATTCAAACTGACTTTGTAGAGAATGTGGGCAGAAAGTAGACTAAAGAAGAAAATCCACCCCACTTCCTTTTGGAGGGGAAGAAGTGGGTTGATCCAGGTAGACAGGGCTGCTAGTGTCCAGATGGCTGATTTTAACCTGTGCTTAAACCTGTGTTTTTAGAGCTCTGAGCAAATACAGGCTTGGAGTCTGGAGAACAGAGTAATGAGGGAGAGGAATGTGGGATGGGACTGTACACTGAACTAAGAAACTGCTAAAATCTTTAAATATCTCTTGAACTTTCTTTTCTTTTTTTGCCTTTGGCTTCCTGCAATGTTTTTGTGTTTAGATTTGGTTGCCACGAGTGGACTGTTTTTAGCTGCTAGTTCCTTCCCCTCCCCTTTTTAATTTTTTTTCCTTTCCTTTTACACATGCCACAGCATGAAGTCTCTAATTCTTATCTCACTCAGCAAAACATACCAAGACTGACCTATGTGTAGATTCCCCAGGCGGTTTTCCTCCATAAAACCTCAGCAATATTCAAGTCTCTGCTTAACCTTTTTTCATTGAGATTAACCCCTGAAATCACTTAGCTTCGTCTTCCTTCTGGGGCAAAACAGTAATTCTTTGCTTTTGTGCAGGGAAGCGTATTGGTGTGGGGAAGTTTGTGGTCCTTCGTGTGTGTGTGTGTGTGTGTGTGTGTGTGTGTGTGTGTGTGTGGTGAGAGATGCACTAACTTAACTCAGAATAGAATGAAGACACAAGGGACTCAGATATTGATACTTCTCAGTGGTACAGATCTTGGGGGCTCCTCCCTTCCATTGCTTTTTTTCTTTTTTCTTTTCTTTTCTTTTCAGTCTCTTTCCACTTCAACAGGCATCTTACAATTCTCCTGAGGGTTGTGGGAAGGAAGGCAGGCAGGAAGCACTTTTTGTTTTCCCTGGATAAGAGTTTCATTTGAGTGGGGGTGAACTTTTTTGTTCAAGATTTTATCGCTTTCAGGGTTTCAGTAGGGGAGCAAGGCAGACTTGTGTAAACAGCCCGACAGCAGACAGCATTTCTATCCAGGTGCAATTTGGGGATTGAGTACCAAGAATTACTAGAATGAAACAAGATTAGTAAAACCTGAAAACACAGTGGTAATAACAACGATCCAACAATGCGTGTCCGCTTCTCCTGCCCACACAACCCTTCTCTTACATTGTTTTATGGACGTTGATCTGGCTGCTTGTTTACTCGACACCCTAAATTGAATTTCCGCTTAAGGTCAGGACTAAACCTCCACAGGTCTGGTTTGACTGTATTAATGGAATCATAGTTTGACCTGGAAAGTGGTTAAAGATTTCTATAGGTGGTTCACAGGGGGGATGGTGGTGGAAAGCTTTACTTGTTCTCTTCCAAGTTTCACTTGATAATGGTATTATTTATTCCAGGGCAGTGTATAAGTAAATACAACAGGTAAATAGAGATCCCAAATGACTTTCATTTAAATGCACACTGGCATTCTACAGGTTGTGCAGACACGCCCAGGGCTTACCTGCCTGCACGTCTGCTGCTGGACGGGGTGTGGAGGTGTGGTGCCAGGAGTGGGGGGGTGTGGGCATGGGAGATAGAGGGTGGGGCCGGGAGAGCCGTTACCAGGGCGAAAAGCAAAGCAAAACACCCGCCCCGTGCTTCCCGCGCTACACAGCTGAAAACCGGTCAAAGCCAGGGCAGGCTCTCCCGGGATCCCGCAGTGGAGCCACCCCAGGGTTCCCCGGCTAGCGGGGGCGGGGCGACTTCCGAGGCCTTGCTTCCTGGCCCGAAGCTGGAGAGGAGGGGGCTGTTCTGACTGCGGCTCTGACCTGGGGGCGAAAACCCGGGTGCAGAGAACTGGATTCTGTCTGCAGGTCTCAGGATGGATGTGTGCCCAGGGCACCGTGATTCCCCAGGGTGTAGTACCGCGCGTGGGCGAGCGAGACACATACACACACACACCCCGAGAGGCTAGAACCTGCGTTACGAGACTGCAGGTAATATGAGGTGGCATCTCAGAGACACTTCTAATTCTCACTTCAAATTACCTCGATCGCTTTTCTCTTAAACCTCCGCGCCCCTAAACCACGCGGGCGGGCGCGCGCAGGTCTCCCAGGCAGGTGGAAAGTTCCGCGGAACGCTCGTGTCCACATCTAATCGTCCACAAGCATCTGAAGACCTTGGTTCTGCAGCTCTGAGCCAAAACAGGTGGAATCAGAGAACTGGAACCGGGAAAATGTTTTTAACGTTCAAACCCAGTTCTGTTGAGGCCTTAGCTGGTAACTCGGGCCATAGGATCAGCTTTTGGCACCACCCGGGTTTGGGAACAGAAGGGATTTCTGCTGAGGGTCTTCATTCCAGCTGTGGCCAGTGCATACTCAGTGCGGGCCGTTTGAGCCCAGTTTAGTCTGCTCTGGGCGCAGAAAAATACGTGAAAGCTTAAGATTGGTTTTCCCTGAATATTGTCTGAGAACCAGGCGACCCCAACTCCTAGCCCGGCCGGTGGAAACCAAAACACTCTTTCCCGGTCTCCCCGGCCTCTCGGCTTCAGCGCCTTCCTAGCCCTGCTTCAGTTGTCTCTGATTTCTCCTCTTGTTCCTTTCACTGAGAATCGCCCTGTCAATTTCAAATGCTTTTCGGTTGTTAAAAAACAAAAAACCGGAATCGACAAAGTTCTATCACTGGCCCTCGCTCGTACCTCGGGTTCCCAGCTGGCCCTAAGGCGCTCCTGTTTGCGCACAAGTCGGGTGTGCCAGGGCTGCAGGCTAGGGCGCACGATGCCGGCTGGGCGCTGCCCTCAGCCTTTGCGGCTTCTCTCGGCTCCTGCCGTGGAGGTAACACCGGCGTGAAACTTTGTGGATTCACAGTGAGGTGACTTTGGGCACCTCTTTCACCCCGGGGGCTATTGCTTTCACCCCCTAACCTGCCCCCTCCTTGGCAAGGAGGCAGCTGGCGGGAGAAAAGAGCGTTTACCTGAAGTTCCAGAAAATGACCACGCATTTAGAGAAAGGTCGTGCCCGCTTCCCAGCCTCACCTAGTCTGGACCTTGGCCAAGATCCGCCTCCCTACCATTCCCCCCAACCTAGCGGAGGGAGAGATGCCAACGCGGTGGAGTCATGCCGCTGGCTTGGGCATCATTGGCTCATGCCTGGAACACGCAGCGGCGAATACGCACATCTGGCTGCCTGCCCGGACGGCTCCGATCCTGATATGGAGAGAGGGTGGGCGGGTGTGTGTCTGAAGCGTGCAAGGCGGGGAGAACGCGCGGTGGCCGGCTCCTCCCCGAGCTTGCATCACCAGTCCCCTCCTCTCCATCCCCCCCCCGCCGCCCAGCTTCGCCCCGCCTTAGCCCCTCCCCCTTCCCTCGCTCAGTTGGGCCGGTTCTCCCGGGAGGCTATTAATAGCATTACGTCAGCCTGGGACTGGTAACCTAGAGTAAGCGAACGCGCACCCTGACCGTGAGAGCTATAAAAGGGGTGATGCAACGCGCTCCAAGCCACAGTCGCACTCAGCGAGGCGCGCATGGTACAGCGCTTTCCCCGCGCCGCCGCCGCCGGAGCCGATCCGCCTGTCCGCGCACCGGCTGGGAGTGCTCGGTGCCCGTCCGCCCGCCGGACAGAGAGCCTTCCCCTGTCCCTGCCCGCCCTCTGGACCCTGGCCGCCGGGAGCGGAGACTGGAGGTGAGCGCGGCGAGAGTGGCTCGCTTTCATCCCCTTTGCGCCCCTCTAGTAACCGGTACCCCAGTCTCCAGCTGTGAAATAACTTTAAGCTTCTCCCAGCTACTGCTGCTCCTTCCTGCTTGGGATTTCTCGCAAAGTGAAAGAACGAACATTCTTTTTTGGTTTGCGGCGCGAAAGACTGCTAGTGACGAGCGCGATCCGGCGTCCGCTCCGCCACCGACCTCGGAGCGCTGCTGTGGGCTGGGAGAGGGCGTAACGTGGGTGGGTGGGCGGGCGGGGGTGTCCCGGGGTGTTCCGAGCTGTCTGGCCCGCTGTCCTGCTCCGTCCCTCACTCTGTGTCCCGGCCCCGCTACTGCCCGAGCCGATCTCTTCCCAAGTCCGCCGAGAGGCGCGATGGCCCGGGGGCTCTTAGAAGCGCTGCCCCAGGCACGGAGAGGAATGAATGGGGAAGGGGTGGACGATGAAGAGTCGCGGGCACAGCCGCTGGAGGTTCCCTTGCGCATACCGAAGGTCGCCTTACGCACCTCGCAGCACTCCGCGGCAGAACCGCGTAGGGAGCCCCAAACGAAAGTTAGTTGGGATGAGTTTGGAGGTAGCGCTGGTGTCGCGCTTTCCTAGGGCGGAAGGCAGAGACGGTCCCCGACACAGGCTGGAGACTGGCTCCTGGTGTCGGGACTTCCTGTTCCAGTCTCACACGCTTTTATCTCGTACCTGTGACTCTCACGCTGGCTTTTTTCTTCGGCGGGTCTACGGAATTGTCGGCTTTGCGCCCTAGGAGACCTGCGGTGGGGAGGGGGTGTAGGGAGCGAGGATGTGGATGGAGACGTTGTTCAGGAATTTGTGCGAATGGCTTTGGGGTCTAGAGCCAGAATTCTGAGAACTTATTTAGCTCATTTGTTGTCCTTGAGCCTCGGTATCCCCAAATGAGAAGTATTGATGTAGACATTACCGATCCCCTCTGCCTGTTTAAGAGCCTGGGGTGGTGGTTGGAGTAGGTCACCATGACAGACTACTCTGGCCCTTTCTGGCTGAAGAGTTCCAGATTTTTCAGTGGTATAGCTGAAAGGATAAGAGCCAGCAAGGGAACTTGAATGAGGGAGTCTTCATTTAATGTCACAGATTAGTGTCTGGAACTGTGGGGGAAGGAGACTTCTCTATGGGGCGTCCAGCTCTGTCCCCCAGCTTTCTTCCCATTGGATTGGTTCTCCTCTGTTCCTTCCCCATTCCCATTTTCATCTCATCTACTTACTTTCATTCTTCCTAACCATTTTATTGTCCTTAATTTATCTTTCTTCCTCTTTCCTTCCTTTCATTTTTTGAGACAGGGTCTCTCTTTGTAGCCTGGTCTGGCTTCAAACTTTTGATTCTCCTGCCTTAGCCTTCAGAGTGCTGGGATTGCAGGTGTGCATCACCACAGCCAGCAGTATTTTCCTTAAGGAATTTCAAACGCTTTCTTACAAATAAAGGAGTTGCCAAATCCTTGATGAAACGACAAAGAAAAATTGGGGACTAGAAAATCTAGGTGTTCTCCAAAGTATTTCAGTGTGGGTTATGGTTACATCTTCTGTTTGGGGCTTTTGTCTCCCCATCGTAAAAGTGTGAAGGAGAAGTTGGTATTACTGCCCCTTGTTTGGCCTTTAGCATTTGTTGTAGGTCAATGCTACAACACACAGCCTCTTGCTTGAGTGGGAGTGGGGCTGCAGTTGTTATTAAGAGGTTTTAGAGACAGCAAAGAAGGCAGCTGCCCAGGCCCACTGTATGACGATACAGTGCCCAGCACCTGTGCAGCTGTGCCTTCAGCATTATCTCATTTCTTCCTGCCCTTGGCCTCTTCCTTGTGTAACTCCTCCCTGTCTTAGTCTCCTGTCAGAGTCTCCTCTGTGACCGGTATCAGGATGAGGACTATTGACCCTTCATCTAGCTGGATAATAGCTCTGTTGTCCCTTTGCTTTGTTGATTGATCTTTGGAGCTGATGGACCCCTACTGTGATGTAGCAAAATGAACGGGGTAGGTGTCAGTTTAGTGTGGACTGGGCCATGCTCCAGCTTTATGATCTTGAGCAAGTCATTTTCTCTTCCTGGACCTCAACTTAGTTAATTATAAAATGAAGATCTCACCTGAGTGATTCTAATATTGGGAGTTCTGTGATTCCCGTTACAGTCTGTAATTCCTTTGTTTTTAAAACTAGCTGAAAATGGAACAGGTTAGTTACTCCAAGTGTAACCTAGCCAGGGGAGGAGGAAGGAAGGACACAGCCAGGATACTACAGAAACCTATCAAGGGAGAAATGGTTTCCGGTGTGAGAATTGGTAAATCTCTCAAGCACTTCACACTAGTGGAGAAAGGCTAGTGTCAGCAAACAGCAGGGTGGAACATAGGAACCCAGGGGTTAATCAAAGTACACAAGAGACTATGACTGACTGACCTGAATTTCTTGAAGGTTCCAGTTAATTCCTGACTAATAAACTGAATTGACAACACAGAGTTCCCCTGAAGTGGGGAAAGTTAAGTCATAACAGTAGTTTGTGTGAATCTCCAATGTTCTTCTTAACAGCCCTTGGAGGAAATTGGGGCATGTTGTCTTGATCACAGTTTATAGATGAGGGGACCGAGGCCTGGGGGCTCATGGGTTGGTGCTCAGCTTGTCAGGGGTAGAGCTAGGCCTGGAGATGCTGTCTCTGACCCTGAAGCCCAGCCTTACACTTACAGCCTTCAGACAGACTGGAAGAAAGACCCAAGATGTGGAGAATTAGGGAGCGGCCAGTCAGTATTGACTTCCTAGTACCCTAAGTTGGTTAGTGAGCAGCACTTAATGGAAAGAGATGAAAATTAAAAGTGAAAATTCAATGTCATTGTAGCTGCTTGGAAATAAAAGTCTGGGAGCTGAATTTCCAGTTAAAGAAATACATGAGCAAGGTTTCACTTTCTTTTTTCTTTCTTTCTTTTTTTTTTTTTTTTGGTGGGACTGGGGCTTCCAACTTGCAAAGCAGGCACTCTACTGCTGGAGACACCCCCCCCAGTCCATTTTGCTCTGGTTGTTTTGGAGGTGGGGGGGGTCTCATGAACTATTTGCCTGGACTGGCCTCACACGATGATCTTACTGATTTCACTGCCAGCACCTGGCAAGTTTCACTTTCTTGAAAATGATGAAACTACCAACAATATGACATGATTTCTGATTGGAAATGATGAAGCAGAAGCAAAATGCAAACTCTTTTGTAGCAGGGCAGGTCTGAACAATTTGATGATCAATGTAGGAAGTCAATTTAGATCACCCAAAGCCCCCCAAAACGTTTTTGTTTTCTCTCCATCAGAGGGGATGTTTAAGGGTCTCAACTTCCTAAAAAAAAAAAAAAAAGTCAAAGATTTAATTTCATTTTCCTTGTGGGGACACAGCCTGTGTCTAGGTTGAACCATCCCATAGGAGACTGAGCAAAGGACAAACCAGAGGCTCAGCTTAAGACTGGTGCAGAGAAAGCCCGAATCTTTACACATACAACTGCTTCAGAAAGGCTCTTAACAGTTTTACAACCTATTTCTTTCCCCCAAGGAAGCCCGCCCATACTTTTCATACAGACATGCTCTACCACTGACATTCTTCAATTTCTTTCATCAGGACTGCTGACTTTACACTAAGAAGGAGAAAAAAGAAGTCCCAAACAGTAGACCCCAATCCTTGAGGGCTCTTTAATAAACTTAGCTGGGACACACTCAATTGTAATGGAATTCCAGCTACCCAGGTAGAAGGGAGCCATCCAGTTCTCCAAACAAAGGCCAGCCTAGTGGTAGCTCTGAAGTCCATCCTTGAGCCATTGGGCATTGGCTCAATAATAGCTGGAAAAAGAGAAGAGATGGGTGCATGAGAAACTTTACACCTCTGGCTTCAGAAGCATAGAGTTTATCACCCGATAGAAGTATCCTCCCGTCATCCTAAGATTATAGGATTAAATTGAGAGGAAAAACTTCAGTTCTGAAACTTTGGAAGAGAATTACATACATTTCCTGGATTCCTTTGACTAGTGGAGGGCAGCGTTCGTTGGCCTGGAATTCTTGCCTGCATCAGTGGATCTCGGATATCTAGTAGGGGTTAGAGGCCAGGGTGTCCTTCCTGTTCAGAAGCATTTAAGATCAAAGAGGGTGACCAGCCACCCTTCCACCAGGGCCACACAGAGCCTCTGTTAGAGAGCCAGCCCCCTGCTGGCCCTAATGTAACTCCTAGTTGCAGAATGCTTTCCAGGGCATATTTGTGCGCTAGTTCTTCAGCTCCTTATACATGACTCATGGGCACTTGTTATTAGCCCACCTTTACAGAGGACAAAGAAACCACTTGGGAGGTACAATGAAGACACATAACTAAGTGGTCTTCAAGTCTTGATTTTTCTGATCCCTGCCTGGGAATTCTGTGCATAAAAACCCATTTAAATATACTCCCAGAATGCAGGGAGTGACTGAATATGCACTCTGACATACAAAGACCAGCAATTCATTTATAAGATTTAGGGTTTTCTCATGAATCTTTGCTTAGTCTCCCACTGTTTCAGTGCCAGGCTTCCTCCCCAGCACCCATACCTCCCCCCCAAAAAAATTTGCTTTTTTGTTCATTTATTTGTTCTTGTAATGTAGAATCTTATTTGGTTTTTGCAATGTATAAATTTTAAGGGCGTGAATTACAATCCTGATACTACCCCGTGTTAAGTATGACTGGGCAAATTGTTTGTCCAAACCTCAGTTTTCTCATGTGTAAAATGGGGTGAGGACCTAACTCACTGGGTTTTATGAAGGTTAAATGAGATAATTAATGCAGATAAGGTATTTGGTATGAAGATGCTCCTTAAATGTTAGAGATTTGCCAGACGGTTTCCTGTCTGGCTGGACTTAATGGACTGGGCTTAATCCCTGAATTAAGAGGGATGCTCCAATTGACCACCTGCCTAGACAATCTCCATAATCAATTGCTCTCGTGAACAAACTAGTGAGAGAAAGAGGGATGGTCACAGCTGCAGGGAATCAGCAGCAGGGAGAGGCAGGGGACCATTTCAAATTAGAACCATGGAACCATAACTCTTTCTACCCTTTACTTTCCTTTTGTCATCCCTTTGGGTTTACTGACCTATAGAATGATAGAGGTAGATGGAACTTCAGAGGCCATTTGGTTTGACTGCCCTGTCCCCATTTCATTTATTCTATTGGACAGTGTCCAAATGGTCAGCAGGCATGTGAGCCAGGTGCTGGGGCAGGCTTTGGGACAGACCATGCAGAGAGTCACTTCCTGTGCTGGAGGAGTTCTTGGCCTTTGGCCAGCTGAAGACTAAGTCTCAGAAAGTTGGTGAATAGCCCAAGTCACCTGTTCTTTTGTGCCTGAGCCAGTCCCAGGTCCCTCTTTGCCCCCAGTCCAAACCTCTCCCTGTACCTCAGGGCTAAGCAATGCCTCCCACACAAATGTCCAGACCATTGCGCCTCACTTTCCTTACCCTGAGGTCTTTTGCTTCACCAACTGTAACATTAAGAAGGGGCTACTTGTTCCCCACATTACCCGAATCCCTGCCATTGCCACTGCTTGCCAAGGACTGAGACAAAAAAATACACCCAGCTACTGTTACCTTCCTCATTCCCACTACTTCAATCCAGCTCGCTAGGGGAGATAGTTCAGGGATCTAACTGACGGTCCAGCGATACTAACTCCAAAAGTCTTCCACTTCTTGCTTTTACTTCCACTTGACTTCGGGTACCTTCCAAGTTTCCTTTTGAAAAAGAGACTGAAAATGGGATTATAGAGTGGTCTGATTTTTTGGTTTTTAGCATTCTTCCTCTTTTGAGACTGAGGCTACATGTGCATATCTGCACACCAGCCAAAACTAATAGCTCTTATAAGAGTTCAGAATAGCCAGAAATGTCAACCCTTATAAACTTCAGTTAGGTATTTCACCAACATCACACCGAGCTGTGTTTTTTAAGACCTGTTTTACTTAAGATGAGGATGGTATGGGATGAACACAAATCAAGCCCAAGGGCTCATGGAACTTTCCTATGGGGGGTGGGCAGACCTCTGGTATTGGGGGTCACAGGTAAAGAAGACTTGATCCCATGCCCCGGAACCCTTGAAGCAGTTTGGGTTTCAATGTGTCTTTCAGCAAAATGATGCTTCAACACCCAGGCCAGGTCTCTGCCTCAGAAGTCAGTGCCTCTGCCATCGTCCCTTGCCTGTCCTCTCCTGGGTCACTGGTGTTTGAAGATTTTGCTAACCTGACACCCTTTGTCAAGGAAGAGCTGAGGTTTGCCATCCAGAACAAGCACCTCTGTCATCGGATGTCCTCTGCACTGGAGTCGGTCACCATCAACAACAGACCCCTGGAGATGTCAGTCACAAAAGCCGAGGTGGGTTCTACCATGTACATTGATTTGCTCAGAATATATTTAGGGCACTCTTACCACGTGGGAGCATATTTTTTGCAGGTGGCTACAGTTGGGAATAAAACTAACAAAGGCAGGAAGTATACCTTCTACTGAGAGCTTACCTCTATTGTCTACAGAGAATACACAGAATAAGTGAGCCAGGCATGGCGATGCCTGTAATCCTATCACTTAGGAAGCTGAGACAGGAGGATCTCAAGTTCAAGGTCAGCCTAGGCTTCATAGTTAGACCGTGTCTCAAAAAAATATGTTAGTAAGTGAATAGTATGAGAGACAGGTGCAAAGGAGAAACAACAAGCAAGGAGGACAGGGAGAGTGGGTAGGACTGGGGTTGTTGTTGTGTTAAATTAGGAGGTCAAGGAAGGCATCACTGATAGTGAGTGGCCTGTGAGCAGGGATTTGGAGGAGAGGGAGAGAGCCATGTAGCAATCTGACAAGAGAGAATAAGGGCACCAAGGGAGAAGTATAGTTGGAGTAGGGTGGGCATGTGATGTGGTGGGATATGGAGGGTAGGAGTGAAATAGAGGCACGTAGTGAAATGGTCTTATAGACCATTGTATACATACAGCCATGTGCTCAGTGAAATGGGAAGGCATTGGAGGGTTTTTGAGCAGATTAGTGACATGTTCTGATACATTTTGATCATGTAGAAAATGGGTGGTAAGGGCAAGACAGAGTGTGCAGAAATGAGACTATGGAGCCATCCACCTCAGCAAAGGAGGGTCTGGTCAGGATGGGTGCGGTGCAGGTGCTAAGAAGTGGTCAGTTTCTGGATCTGACTTGAAGGTAAAGCTGCTTTACTCATGGGATATGGGGTGTGGAAGAAAGAGGACTCAAGGGAGACTCCAGTGTTCAACTTGCACAGCTGGGAGGATGGAGTGTTCATTTGTTGCTGGGATTTGGACTGTAGGAGGTCGATGATCAGGAGTTCCACCCTGTTTGTAGTCCCATTGAGATGTCAAGATGCACACATGGGCCTGAAGTCCGGAGAATTGGCTAGAGATACAGAGCTGGAAGTCATCAATGTTTTGGATGGTATTTAAAACAATGAGTTGGGGTGGGGTCACCTTCTGTGTTGAGGTTTTCTGAGGAAATAAGGAACATGGTAATTATTTTAATTATTGACAGGATCCAAGGGTCCAGACAGTGGAGCAAGGACCAAGCAACTAGCCCTGTTCTTTCTGTAGCAATGCTCACAGCCTTGGAACCAAATGGTTGCTCCAAATTCATTTCTGTCTCAGACACTTGCATTGTTTTGCACTTGGCAACCTTTCATAAGACACCTAGAATAGGAAACATGGTGATAAGTTTGAGACATGGTTGCTGCTATGGCAATGCTGTGGTGGGTCCAGAATGTCAGAGCCAAGATACAGTGTTATTGGCCTTTCTGTCATGTTGCAAGATGGGAATATTCAAGCTTACTTAACTGGTGCGATTGCAGCCTTTGGGCAAGTAGTAGTAAAACTCTCAAAAGAACTTGGTTCCAAGAAGGTTGAGGGCTGGACTTGTAGTTCAGTGGTAGAGCACTTGGCTGTCATGCATTAAGGTCCTGGATCTGATCCCCAGCAGTAAAACAAAAGGAGGATGTTTCATTCTATAATTACTCCTGCCTAGGATTGAACTAAGGGTTCAATGATAAGAAATTTGTGAAAGCTGTAGCTATGATTGGGGCCTGACTCATAGCTTTCAATTATTTATGATGCTGTACTCGTAAGGCATCATTGGGGCATTGACTGTGTCCCAGTTAACTTCAGAGCAGGTCACAGAGGTGACCACAAAATGTTCACCAGTGTCCAGTCCAATACTGGACCATGTAGGGTGGACCATGGGACATTCTGATAGATTTTTTTCTAATTAAATAGTTAGAGATAACAGTATGCAATGAGAATAGTAGAAAGGGAGGGAGGGACAGAGGAAAGAAGAAAGAAAAGACATTTTTGAAGGACACTTGGGGGTTCTCCAGAGGAAGAAGCAGGCAGTCTGCCTCATGGAAGCACTCCTGAAAGCCTCCCATGGAACTTTCTGATGCTTAGTTTGTACAACAATCAGATTTACCTACTGGGAAAGGGATACACCATCAGACCAAGTTGATGGTGCTCCCCTTTGTAGCCATAATTCTCATCCTCAGATGAGGTTCTGAGCCCATGAAAGCCATGGCATTCTGTGGGTGTGAAAGCTGTCAGAATTCTATGGGTCTTGGCAGTGTGAGCTTGTTTCCCAGATCCCAGTCCCTTCTTAGAAAGTGACATGGTAGAACAAGGCAGCTATGGACAGGAGATGATGCAGGAAGGCAACAAACACCTGAGTTTACATCCAAGTTGTATAGCCTACTGGTCTGGTGGCCATGAGCTGATGATTGCTGGGTCCTCTCTGGACACATTGCAACCGGCTTTTCTGTGCCTCTGTTTCATCACCAGTAAAACGAGGGCCTGAACTAAATGGTCTCTAGAATGCCTTTTCCATCCTGGACATTCTTCTATCTTTGGGACCCTGAGATTTGCTCTATTTTCAAGTGCTTCCTCATATAAGCAAGACTGAATCCTGGCTCATCTATCCAAATATATCCATAAGTGCTGTACTGTACGCCTGAGCCCAGTCCCACCCCCAGCCCTTGAGCTGCAGTGTCTTCAGGAAGATACTGATAGTGAGGATAATAAAAGTAAATGATGCGTATATAAAACTTGCTATAAGCTAAATACCATGCAAAAATTTACATATATTTACTTATTTGATCCTTACAATGAGCATACTACATCTGGTAATGTTATTGATTCTATTTTACAAATGAGGAAACTAAGGCTCAGAAGAGTAACTTGCTCATGGTGCCACAGCTAATAAGTGGTGACACAGGGATTCAAAGCCAGTTTAGCTTCTAAGAAGTGACAGGTGGAAAGGTAGAAATTCCTCTCACCATATTTCTGCCTTGGGGTTTGCTTTTCTAAAGTAGTAGACCTTCCACCTCAGGTGGAATAAAGTCAATGTCATCTAATTCAGAAGAGTGGAAAAAAAATCAGATGGAAGATAATTATGGCATCCCAGGAGCTGTTAGATTTGACACATACCTCCCATATGTTTTCCCTTTGTCCAGAGCAGGGGAAAGTGACATGACAGGATCCGACATTGGCAGCCTATGCTGTCACCCACTCAGCTTATCCAGATCCGAACTTGCTCTGTCACAGCTGGACTTTGGTCTCTTTAAATCCAGTTGCTAGATACTGCTGATTCCTCATCAGCCCAGAGACAAAGTCAGGGTCTGGGTGAACTTTCATGGAGGACCACATCCCAAAGCTTGCAGGACAGGAAGCTTTTGTTGTCCAAGTAGCTCCAGGGATAGCCTGGGTTAAGTACAGGAGAGGAGATCAGTACTGATTTATTGGCTGAGTCAGTAGATGGTTCACTTTTTTTTTTTTCCGGGTCCCTTAACATTAGGGTTGCCCTGGTTTACCAGCCTTTGCTAGTAGCAAAAGGCAGTACATTGAGGAGAGTAACATTTCATGGTGGCATTAAATATGTGCCTTTTGGATTTCATAGGTAGCTCCTGAAGAAGATGAACGGAAAAAGAGGAGACGGGAAAGAAATAAGATTGCAGCCGCCAAGTGCCGAAACAAGAAAAAGGAGAAGACAGAGTGCCTGCAGAAAGTGAGTGCCTTCCAGTCTTTTCCTGCCTGTTGCCCTCTCCTGTCTCCCACTAGTCTTGTGTTGCTATCAGAAGGGGACTTTAATATCTGGCCTTGTATCTACTTGTTGCAGAACAAGTAGCAAAGCCCATGGCATAGTGCATAGGACTCTGAATCTATAAAAAGCAGGTGTGTGAACTAAAAAACACAGGATCGTCCGACGCCCAGACTCCCAGCAGCCTCGGCAGGTCTGTACACATCCAGAAAGATATGCCAGCCCAGTTAAAGAGGTTTCACTTGCTCAATTTCCCAAAAAAGAAACTGTCATTTGGTTCTCTATGAAAAGCCTTTAATTAATCTCTTCAAACAAGTTATTTCCTTAATCTGCAAGCAGTGCTTACACTTTCTTTGCATTCCTGTCTGGATCTGAGCTCTGCCCCCCTTTTTCCAGCTCACCCGGTGCTCTGAGCTCCTTGCTGTCTTGGACCAACACCCCCTGAGAAAGACTGGGGCCAGGGGGAGAAAACAGCATGTATGGGCAGGCCGCAGTGCCTGGTAGTCTTTCTAATGGTTGGCTGCTCCCCCAAGTGTGAAGAGGCCAGTGCAGAGTCTTAACCCAGGTTCCACAATCCCCAAGGGCTCTGCTGATTGCTTCTGGGGGTGGGGGGGTTGTCACTGGAAATGAGAATTTTTTCTCCTGGGAAGATGAGCTTCTCAGTGAAATCAGTGACTCACAAAAGACTGAGCACCATGAATCTAAGTTTCTCCCCGGCTTCCAAGGCCCTTTTGGGTCCAGATAACCTGCACATGGGCCCCTGGATTTATGCAAAGGAGATCTCTGAATCGTTGGTTCACCTGCAGCTTCAGCACTTCCAGCATCACAGCCTCCGGTGGTGGCATCTGATCAGGCCCCAACTTCAAAAGGGCTCTGATGAGGCCCCAACTTCCAAAGCCTCTCCTCTACCTAGTGCTGTTCTCCCATCTTTGTAGGCCTAGTTCCCTGCTGCAGGTCTCTCCCAGCTTGATGAACCCTGAGGTGCCAAGTGCTCCCCCTACCTCCCCCTTTTCCCCTGACCCTTGGCTCCCTCCTAATGCTTCTACCACTTATCCCCCAGGAGTCAGAGAAGCTAGAGAGTGTGAATGCTGAGCTGAAGGCCCAGATCGAGGAGCTGAAGAACGAGAAGCAGTATTTGATATACATGCTCAATATGCACCGGCCCACGTGTATTGTCCGGGCTCAGAACGGGAGGACTCCAGAAGATGAGAGAGACCTCTTTATCCAACAGATAAAAGAAGGAACATTGCAGAGCTAAGCAGCCGTGGTATGGGGACATCTGAGGAGTCCTCACTGAATCCTCCTTTTCCACCCAAAACCCTGAAGCCATTGGAAAGCTGACTTCCTGTGCACCTCTAGTATCCCAGCAGCTGAGAACCGTCGAAGCAGGAGGGCTCATGGTGACTCCACTGGACCTTCCCACTCTGCCCCAGAGTGAACTGTGTGGACCAGGCAAGAGCATCCTTGGCCTCAACTTCAGGCCTTAACTTACTGGCCATTCTTAGATGTTCCAGGTAGCCCCTGGGTGGGATTCAGCCCACTTCATCTGGGTTCCACAAAAACCAGAATATGCCCGCCATTAGGATTCATGCAAAAGCGTCTGTACCTTGGGTAGGTAGGTAGGACCGTCTCCTTGGCTGCAGGTGCCTCTGTTACTTATAGGGGACATGGAATGAGAATGACATTTGTCAAAGTTGTGTAATGGCCAAGGCTGGGCTTTCTAGCAAATATGCTGTTATGTCCTGGAATTAATGTGCAATGCATTTGTGTCAAAATTAGGCATTGTGCTCTTTAATGTTTGTTTCTCACAACACTGGTGTGACTTTTCTGTGATCTTCTTAAGATCTGGTTTCTGCGAATGTAGGGGTCTCTTGCCACAGGCAGTGTCTCACAGAAAAATGTTCAGGTGGCCAGAAGAATTTGCCAGCCCCAGGAGAGCAGAATCGTCCTGCCTGCAGCATAGCTTTGTGTCAACAGAGGATACTTCCTTTTCGTTGGCACCCAGGAGTTAATGAAGCAGACCTTCAGTTACAATGTTACAGGAAGGAAGCAAAAGTCCAACTTCCAAAGGATCAGGACTCTCCACTCAGTGACTTAGGTCAGGAGTTATTTCAAGGCCAGAAGAGGCAAAGAATATTCCGTTCTCCTTTCCTTGTGGTCAAAAACCATAGTCCATGGAGACGCACGTTTGAAGCCAGGTGATGCCCGGGCTTTGGTACTGTCAGATGTCAATGACATTGTTTCTGTCATGTAGCTATTCAGAGAAATCTGGCCCAGAGCATTTGCACCTGTGAGAGCTCACTCACAATGGCCACAAGGACTCTGGCTACTGTCTGGTCAAATTCTGATGTTTCTGTGAAATTCTCAGAGTGTTTAATGCTACTCAATAGTATCATTACAATTTTCTGTAAGAGAAAATATTACTTATTTATCCCAGTATTCCTAACCTGTCAGTATAATAAATGTTGGAACCAAGACTGATACATTTAAGTATTGTGCTAATTTCTGTTATTTTAAATACTGATTGTTGAAACCTAGTGACTCCCACCTCTCCTCTGTCCATTATGGGGAGGGGGTGGAGGTGATTAGCTTTGAATATTTTGGGTGCAAAACTAGTTGGGATAGTTGACTTACAATCCTGTTCCTCAGTCTGTGTCACCCAGTGCTCAATTTCTCATTGACAAAACCTGAAACTCAGCACCAAGTATATCCTTTAAGTCAACTATGTGGTGTTAAGATAGAATTTTGATAGAAAAAGTCTGAATTGCTAAATACTTCATTAGTTTCTCATAATATACAAATGTCTAAAACATACACCTGTGTTCAACTTGAGCCTTTGACACCTTACTTTCTGCCGTGGTGTTCTTGTTATAAAATTATCCACTCGAATTACATCTTTTATAACATTCAAGTGTCTCGTTGCAAATACGTATTTCAACTATCAGAAAATGAGGGGAGGAGGATGGGGAGGAAGAAAGAGAATAATTTTGGACAAAATATGTGTAATAGTTCAAAGAAAAGTATTCCTCAGAATGTTCTGGAATTCCCAGGGCATAGGATTCTTTAGGTCTGGGATAAAACCAGCTCCCTTTCTCTTTGCTTGAGCACATACGGAATACCCACAGGCTAGAAATGAAAATTAGTTACTCTGCGAATCTTCCTTACCCTGTTCCTTAGAAAGACACTCATCATTAAATGTTAGATGCGTCCACATGAATGGTGTGCCTGCTTTTTTGAACTCGTGTGGTGCCTGGAAACTTGCACATCGGTTGTTCCTAACCTGTAAAGGGCCATCTGATGTTGGTATCATCACCACCTTCATTCGTTCTGTATCTTAGTAGGGGAGGAGGATAAGTCCCCTGCATTTGCCCTCTGGTTGTGGGTACCACAAGCTACTATGGAACTCAGGACAATCCAGCAATGGATTAGAGTGGAAGGGACAGGGACCTCCTATGGCAAGAAAAACTGCTCTGAGAAATGCACTGTGTATGGCTAGTGTGACTGGAAGTCATTAAAAATAGTTTTGTCTTCTGTAGCCAAATTTATGTTTTGATACTTTAATAAAAAGATGAACATGTATGTACATCAAGTCATTTGATTCGTCTTGTTACACTTTTGAAGGAGAATGAAGGTTGGGGGAGGGGAGGGAATCATGAGAACAAACTTAGAATGTGCTGCCTCCACCATAATCAAATATCTGGTTGACAACATCTGGTCCTTGAGCTGCCTCCTTCAGGGGATGGTGACATCACACTGGCAGGGCCCTCCACTCTTGTTTTCCTCCTGCCTCCTTTCCCAGAGATCTGTCCTGAGAGAGTTTGTGGCTAAGTGGGAACGGGAACAAGGTAGGTGGCATAATGACATGCCTTCCCCACAGGCATAAATGGCTTCCAAACTACTTCTGATAGTAGGGAAGTTAGTACATGAGGGCATTGATAAGCGCATAGAATTTAAGGACCTTCATTCCTAGTCTCCTTCCCATTGCCTGGCATTTCACTAAGGAGAGGGTGGGAAAAGGGAAAGCAAAAACTGGGGGCTTTAAGGAAATAACTGGGCTTCCATACAGAGTGTACTGTTACAAGCAAAATGGAGGGCAGGGACTGAGATGGCCCCCTGGAAAATTTAATCCCCATCTCAGCCCACTTACTGTCTGAAGTGGGTTTTTTGGTGTTTCTCCTTGACACTTGCGTGTGTGCGATCGCGTGTGTGCGATTGCGCACACACACACACACACAGAGTTAGTTACGCAACTTCCTATAGTGCACCAAGTTGGTCTTCTTGCAGGCAATTACATCAGTTCAGTTTAAAAACATTTGACTGATGCAGTAATATTAATAGACATGGGTCACACACTAAGGGGAGAACACATACAGGAGGAATAGGGAAAGGTAGGAAACCCAAAACTTGAAAGTGTTTGATGTGCCCACTGTAGAAGAGCTAATATAGTAACCTTAAAATGACAGAGGTCGTTATGGGAAGGTGATCAGGAAGTAATGAAGGGGTCAGGCAGAGATGAATCAATTCAGGTTGTAATATACATGTGCATGGAAGCAATGCTAGGAATGTCTCTGTACAGCTATCTTTATCTCAAACTAGCAAAAATAGTACATCTTTCTTATTATTGCTTATGTCTTCTCTTCAACAAAATTGGAGAAGAGGGCAGAACAGGTTCTGCCTGGAAGCGTAGGGACTGGAGGGGAGAGGGAGGGAGCAAAGGAGGGGGTGGGGGGCAGGGGGGAGAAATGGCCCAAACAGTGTATGCACATATGAATAAATTAATAAAAAAATTAGAGTTTAAAAAAAAAAAAAAAAATAAAAACATTTGACTGGTCCAAGCTTCCTTTACGAGGAAAAATACTACAGTGGTTTAGAACAAAGATTTTAGAATCAACTCGACCTGAATTCAAACAATGCTATTTGTTTGTGAATGTAGGTAAGTGACAGACTCAGTTTTTTTATTTGTAAAGTGACAACAGTAACAATAGTACCAAATGCAATGGGTTCTTACAATAATGTGCCAAATAGTACAGTGCTCGGGAGAAGCAATGTTTAATTATTATATTAAATCTTAATTATTAAAGGTCAGAGCTATGAAATCATCATTTATTATGAGATTTTTATGGAAGGACAGGGTAAGGACCAAGACCACCAATTGTAGGTTATTCAATAAATTAAAACGTGAACACAAATGGTTCAAAATTATCCTGTCATCTCATATGTCTGTAGACAGTCTAGAGTTGGATCTTCTCAACTTGGGAGGGAGGGAAGCACACATATAATATTCTCCCATTTGGAATTTTTAAAAAATTTTGTTACCCACCTGAATCCCCAGCAGGATGATCCAGTCCTCTGTAGGGGCAGTCCGGGTATGAGAACAAAAGGGGTATGTGACAGTGACAGGTCACAAAGGACAGCAGAGGATAAATATGGCTGTGCAGGGGGTTAAGGCCAAGAGGATGGTCACTTCTCCCACTTGGACTGCAGTTTGTAGATTCTCAGGGAGACAAAAAAAAAAAATCACAGGTGGAGGTGACGGGGTTGGACCCAGAAAACCTCACTGGAACCCATCCTGCAGCTCTATCCCTTTGAAGAGATTCAGTCTGGGATCCAGGCATCCTACAGCACCCCTTATCAATCTTCTGTGCTCCCACCCCCAGCCCAGCAAACAGGGGCCCTGTGGGGTGGGGTGGGGTTTAGAGACCCACTGTAGCACCACCTTTGTGACCCAGGAGCACAGGTCTGCCAACGAGATCAAGAAAGACGCAAGGACCACCTTGCCAGCACTCCTATCCTAGTACACGATGGCCATGAAAAGTGAGTCTTTGTTACCGTATTTCACAGCCCAAAGTCGTTCTGGAGCGGGCATGTTTAATACCGCCATGGGGAAGTTACAGCGACATCTGTACAAAGGAGAGTATGATATATTCAAGTATGCACCCATATTTGAGAGCGACTTTATCCAGATCACCAAAAGGGGAGAAGTGATTGACGTGCACAACCGTGTCCGAATGGTGACTGTAGGCATTGCATGCACCAGTCCCATTCTCCCACTCCCTGATGTCATGCTGCTGGCCCGACCAGCCATGGGCTTTGATGAATTTGCTGGACGTGGCCAAACCACCAAAGGAAGAAAACACAAGTCAGCAAAGAACTTGGAGCTTACCAGGCTCCTTCCCTTGAAGTTTGTAAGGATCTCCGTCCATGACCAGGGGAAACAACAGCTGCGCCTCAAGTTTGCCACTGGTCGTTCTTGTTACCTGCAGCTGTGTCCTTCTGTTGACGTTCGGGAAGATCTCTTTGCTTATTGGGAAAAACTAATTTACCTCCTGCGACCACCTGTGGATAGTAACAGCAGTACCTATGCCATCCCAGCTGAGGACATGATATGCATGCCTGCATTTGAAGAAGAGGACAGGAAGAGCCTGGCAACTGCTGATTTCCAAGGAAAAGGGGACCAGGACCAGGTCAGTGTCAGGAGCCTCAACGTGGTCTCTGATGTGCACGGGGCCACTTCTGCTGCTTATGCAGGGGGGGAGGGACTCCAGCATGACTCCCACAAATCCATTCCCATGTCTGATGGATCTAACCCCCAAACAAAATCTATAGACCTTGCCAAAGAATCAGCAACAGGAGCTGTAGCAGGCACTTTAAGTGTAGTAGTAAGTAAGTCTGCTGGACAGATAAGTGCAGCCATAGCAGGAGGGGCTGTTACAGGTGCAAGAAGAAGCAAAAGCCACATAGCCATTGCAGGCACTGGGAAGATGTCCCCAAAGAGCCTTAAGGTTGCCTTAGCAGGTGCAGCAAGCAAATCCTTGGAGAATATTTCCAGCACAGTCGCCAATGTCTCCCCACAGGGTAGCATGACTGTGGCAATTGCAAGAGTATACCCTACTAACAAGACTGCTGGGGAAACAGAAAATGACTCAGCAGCAGGACCTCTCACCTCATCCTTGTCGAGGGAAAGCCCTACACATGGACAGACTGAACAGCAGACAGTCTCTCCCATCAGTGCTGAAGTCCACAAGGAAAAGAGGGAAAGAAGGGAGCGGAGAGAAAAGGACAGAGCTCACCATCACCACCACAGGACAGGTGAAAGTCATCGCAAGACAGGGGGGGACAAGACAGCCAGAAAGTCATCAGACCACATTGCTGCTAGAGGTGACAATAAGGAAAAAAGCCAGGGTAGCCCTCGGGATGACAGTCACAGCAGCTCCCACAAAGGCATAAGCCACATCCCTATCACAAAGGAGTCAAGGACCTCCCACAAGCCCGGGAAGAACTTTCCCACTGGGAGTTCAGCTTCTACAGGCAAGAGACTCAGCAAGATCAGCTCTTTCTTGAGGAACATCAGAGCCAACGTTACTACCAAAGGGGGAGCCTCACCGCGTGACAGAGACATCATGGCTAAGACCGTGGGGAAGACGAACATGGAGACCATCATAGAGGCAGCAGAGAGTGACCAGGCACTGGAGATCACTGGTTCTGTGACATCTGAGATCATGGAATCAATGACCTTTGAAGCCCATTAAAATAGAACCCAGGACCAGGAACTGCAAAGGTGTCTAGGGCTCAGGGGAGTATCCCGAGAGCCTATTCCAGCTTTCTTTACTGCAGTTTAAATAAAGAACCATTCAACCTGGGAATGGCTTGCTGCAGGCTATCTGAATTGCCCTGGCCCACAGCTCAGTAGTGACCTCATAGTGGATTCTGTGATGTCAACTTTGATATAGCCTGAGACTCCTAGATGTGGTCAAGGGGAGTCCTGTCTCTCACACCAGCCCAGCAGAGCCAGTATGAGGACTCCCTGTGGCCTCTACACCTTCATGGCTTTGGTGCCCCATAGTCTATAGACTAGGAACTCTACTTTCATCTCCCTATCCTTGTGATAAGCTTTCCCCCACTAAAGGTCCATGGTCAAGGGAAAAATAGGGCTGTTGTGTCCCAGAAAGGAAACAGCAGCATCAGAACAGGAAGAACTGTTGTCTAGACTTAGTGATTCAGTATATACCTGGGAGAAACACACATTTTAGGAGATGGTTATAAGAATGATTAATATCAAAACACTGAAAACTGAAAAATTTGACAAATGAATGGTAGCCACCCGTATTCTCATAGATATATTTTGCTTATAATATTTTAAGAAAAGCAAATCACAGAATAGGATATTATTCTACTTATAGAGGAGTTCAAAAACAAGATCAAATAATGTATTGCAGACATGTTTGGTAAAAGTAGATAAGGGAATGGCAAAATTCAGGGTGGTGGTTTTCTTTGGGATGGAAAAGCAAGAGGTGGGAGCCAAGAGGTAGTCACAAGACTTTCAGACTTTCAGTGGTGTTGAGAGTTGTATTTCTTAAGCAAGGGAATGGGTACATAGGCGTTAAGGATCGTTTTCCACGTTTTAACATCTCTGAAATCAGGACAGTCCTATAATTGCAATGGCAGTTGTAATGAGGTTGTTACTTTGCCCAGACATATCCATGATTTGTTCCCTTCTACTTTCGCTTTTATGAATACCCAAGTAACATGAGTCTTTGTTAAGACTCAAATTTGAAATATGTGCAAGAATCCATGGTTATTAGGAAAACAAGTAGTGATTTCTCTATTTTACAGATAAAGACACTGAGGCTCAGAAAGGTAAATTGTCCTCATCACCCTATGGGACCTTTGCAGAGTCCTCTCTGAGGCACGGGGAGGAGGCAAAGGGAACAAGTCCAAAGAGACGGGCATCTGAGACCAAAACTCCCCAGAGATGTGCACTAAACCTACTGGATTAAGAGGAGAGGAAAGTCAGGGACAGGGAGACGCCCAGTAATGAGTCACTGTGACTTGGCTTTTGAACACCAATGAGCTCACAGCCCCTCACTGGCCTTATCTATAAGGTATCCAGACCACCCCTTAAGTTGTGCCTGGCTTCCAGGCTTCTCTCCCCATCTCCTGCCTGCCTGCACTACAGCTATAAACAGATCTTCCTGGAATTCCAGACCTTGCTCCTACCAGGACCGCTGCTGTGTGGGCTGTAGCTCTCCCAACCACTAATTAAACTCTTGAAAGGCAGGACCAGAATTCTTTCTCCATACCAAACTTCAGGAACTTTCTTCTGGCATTCCAAAAACCAATCCTCAGCCTCACGTGAAGGAGGTGATGAGTTAGTTCACAGCATCCTTGTTGTTTGGGTTTCCACAATTAATTCCTAATGCTACTTTTAAGGATAGTCACAGATTTTAGTTTGTGGGTACAGGAAGAATGGTGGGCATGGTGGGGGGAGGCACTGTTGAGAAAGACAACCCAAGACCTACCCATATCCACCATTTCCTCCTGCCAAACAAGATACCCAACCCCAGGATGAGGAATTATTGGAGTGAGTCAAGTTCTTCTCAAGAAAGAAGGGAACACACCAAAGATTTGATACAAATGGGCCCTGTGAGGGAAACAAACCCAGAATCATTAACCAGACTCCAGAGAAGACTTGAGGGGCAGGGTCTCCAAGGAGACCAATTAATGGTTTACTCCTGACCAGCTTTTCCTTTGACTGGAAAGGTGGGGAAATTACAAAAAGTCCCCTTTCATTCCTTTCATCTGAGAATTTCTACACAGGCAAGTATAGGTAAACACTAGTCTGGAAGACAAAAATGCAATTAAAACATTTGCATAGTACTTAGTTATTTATAAAATTCTTTAATGTTCGTTTTTGCTTCTGATTTTCACCTCACTCCACTTGGCAGATCAGCAAGCTGGGGTTTGGAGCATTTAAATGACTTGCTACAAAGAAGTGTCTGCAGAAAGGTCACCAAGCCAGTGTTGCATGTTTTATGCAGCCTTTACCATGGGTCTCACACTCTGGACAATGCCAGCCAAGGAGACAAGACAGGCATGTGAGTTGGTATTACAGCTCAGAGCAACAGATACTTTGAAAGTCACATGTTTGAGAACAGGATCCTTTCACAGAAGGGATTATAGGTCAAGAAAGGCTTCACCAAGGAATTGGCATTTGGGAGAATAACTCTGCCAGGGAAGGTCATGGGAGCAAGGGTAAGGGTGGAGGGGGGTAGGGTGGAGAGCAAAGAATGCCTATGCGTGCAAAGTACAAAGGCTTGAAACATCACAGGACTTTGGGGCAATTACAAGTATTTTAGCCTTGTTGGTTGGAGGGCAAGAGGCGGGGCCAGAGGCTGGAGAATCAGGCAACTTGATCTTAGGGGTCTGGGAGGCTGTGTGGTCTTCCAGGCCTATGCGAGCCACTGAAGGCTGGTTCCTGGAGGAAGTAAGGTCTTTTGGCTGTAAGGTGGAGAGTTGATGGGCACGGGGCTATCTGGAGGCAAGGGATCCTTCAGAAATCCTGGTCAGAAATAGGAAGCCCGGACTTAGGTGGTTGTGGTGTCACAAAAGAAGCAAGAGTCAGGACAGCTGTCCTTCTCATGTCTCAAAAGACAGGGAGGTCATGATTTTGGCCTACATTGGTATAAAGGAGGCAGACCACGAAAGTGGAATGTTAATCTGTGAAGGGGGCAGCAAGAAGAGAAAGCCAAGAAGAAACATTAAGGTATAAAACAGCTTCTAGACAACTAGGAGGTAAAACAAAAAGCAGCCAACGAGGGGACTGCTTACAAGATCTTAGTCGCTCCCCCACACCCCCCTGCCCCCAAGCTTTCCTTCTTCACCAGCCAGAAGCAGGCTCTCCCACTCTGCTGGGAGTTACTTGCTCTCACAGAACCCCTTGTGGTCACATGCTGTTACTGCATGTTTGTGCTTGATTTGCTTGTCTGAGGGGAGCCAGGTCTGCGGCTGAGTCACAGTCGCCTTTCCCTTTGTCACACAACAATTTGCCTAATATGGATTCACTGATAATCAGTTTGTGCCTTAGGGGACACCACCCCTGCAGCAGGTAGTGGCCAGAGCTGGTAAAAAGGCTGTCCCATGTGGGGTGGCAAAGTGTAGAATGGCACATGACAGGTCTCTTAAGAGGCTGGAGAGTCCAAATCAAGGGGACAATGAGTGGCCACCAAGACCAGATCAGGAGGGGGGTCCTGTGTGCATCCTGGAAGTCATTTGAGAAACAACTGTTGAGTACCTACTATGGCAAAATAGGAAATCAGGAACTGTGAAGATCTCTCTCTCTCTCTCTCTCTCTCTCTCTCTCTCTCTCTCTCTCTCTCTCCACACACACACACACACACACACACACCACAGCAGCAACACAAACCAAGGTGGGCTGTGGGTGTAGCTCAGCTGTAGAGTGCGTCCTAGCATGCACAAGGCGTTAGATTCAATCCCTAGTCCCTCCCTCTCCCAAGAAACAACATGTCATGGTAGCTCCCAGAGGATGTGCAGAAGGAGGCCTCAGATGGGAAGGGAGAAGTGAGCAGAAGCAATCAGCTGAGCACTCTTGGCAGAGGCAGCGACATGACACAGAGAAGGGAGATCTGGACACGTTCCCAGGTGATAGACAAGTGCATCATGTCCAAGGCATAATGTGTAATGTAGTCCACGTGTGAATGGTGGGGAGAGAGATGAGGTTTGCTGGAAAATGAAGCTGGAGGAGAGGTAAGGCCATGACATGGAGGCGAGTCCCAGAATGCTACATACCTCCCTGCAACCTCCTGATCTTCCCAATTACAAATGGGACCTGTAATCCAGGAACAAGGGGTATACCATCTGGGTCCACCAAGAGCAGAAGGGCAAAGAGAGCCCAAGCTCTTCCCATCTGCCAACTTAGAGAACTTAAAATATGTTACCAAGGACTGTCTTCCCACACATGGGACGCTTCCTACAGGTGTGCTGAGGTTTTGATACCCCTCATCCTTACAAGCCATAGGACAAGGCCAGTCGATGTTGCTTGCCAGGAGCCTCAGCTGGTAGCCCAGTAGGCCATTCTAATGTCATGTTCCACATGTGCCGTGGTCTGCAAAAGTCTAGGCACACACAAGGATGTGTGATGCTGACCACATCACCTTAGTTTGTTTTCCCATTGACACAGTCACAGCTCCAGAACCCTGTCATAAAGCAGTTGACACTGCTTTAAAAAGAAATGAGAAAAATAGGAACAAATTCAGTAAATTTTTCATAAAACTTTTAATAAAGCTAAATTTGCTCTTTATTGTTTTATTTTGCAACATAACATAGTACAGAAAGGTGCACAAGTCACAAATATATCACTGAATGACATTTCACAAAGTGAGCAATCCCAGACAACAAGCACCCAGGTAATGAATCAGAATATCAACACATCCCTCAAAGCCATCCCTCAAGTTCTTTTTCAATCACTGTCCTCACCTCCAACACTATAGGTTAATTTTGCTTCCTCTCCTAATTGAAATCGCAAAGCAAGAACTCTCTTGATTCTGGTTTCTTTCCCTTTCATCATCATGTTTATGGGATTAGTCCATGATTTTTCTGGCATTCTCATTCCTATACAGCATTCCATTGTGTGAGTACACACAATTCATTCATTCATTCTCCATTGATAGGCATTTGGGTGGTTTCCAGTTTGGGGCTATTAAGAATAGTACTGCTCTGAACTGTTTCATGA